AGGGATGAATAAGTACTTGGACGGCCCCGTGGACTATGCGAATAAGCTGAAATTGCAATTTCCAGTAGGCGATCTGGACTTGCCAGAACGGAGGAAGAGGTATACCATCCGTAGGAGAGAGGAAGAGGAGGATAGACACGCATGTCCATGTGGCAGATCGGAGGAGAGTAGACCCCACATAGTTGGGGAGTGTGAGTTGTACAGGAAGGAAGGAGAGGATCTCGAGGAGGAAATGAGACAGAGAGGGTGTGACATGGACAAGTTTGGTAAATTAGACAACAGCGAATAAACGATCGCGATAATTGGGGATAGATGGTGGGCACAAGAGGCCCTAGAGGACGGGGATAAGATGTGCAAGAAATTTTTATGGAGTTTGTGGCAGAAACGTAAAGAGCTCCCAAATGTTGGTGGTGTCTCTAGTAGGTGTAGGAACGGTGCTCCGTCTCGAAAGGGACGCGTGGTCAATGGTCAAATGACTACGGCAAGCAACAAATGAGTACGCCCCCCCCCCCCCCCCCCCCTCTTGGCCTTTGCTGGGTCTCTTGCTGGGTACACATGATGCTATGTTGTATGTCCCTCTTGGTGGTGGTGTTTTGTTTTGGCTCTCTAGATCGGCTCCTGTACCCAAGCATCACCAGCGCACGCGGCATTTTGCGTGTCCACGTATCCCCTCTGTAAAATCAAAACACACGCGCCCATCCTGGTTGCTGATCGCCACCTCGTGTTGTCCTTCCGTTTGGACCTCAAGCGATGTGAGTCACCAACGGTTAATCCAAATTTCAAGTCATGACTGTCTGCATATGAGGCGCAGCTTACCACGCGTAGCCGACATCTGGCGGAATGCTCGACCACACCGTAGATAAATGATGTCAACACTGCCGTGCACTTGAAATTTTGACTGTGAAGAGCCCGTTTTCTTTTTTTCAAATCCAGCGGGTTCGCGATTGGATTCACGACTTCTTCTCGAGCCTCCCCAAGCTGTGCGACGACCCCAGCAACATCGTCGCCGCCGCCGCTTTCTCGGCGATCGAAGCACTGCTTCGGGAACACCCGTTGTGTGAAACGGCAGTGGACAAGGAAGTGCGGGGGTTCTGGGGTCTAGAGAGCGACGTCCAACCGGAAGGGAAGGGGGGAGTGAAGGAAGGCCGAGGAAGCAGAGGAACCCCCGGTGGCATGTTTGGCGGACACAAGCAGGTATGGTATACATTGGGCGACCTCGCGACGGCAAAATCCTTGCTTGCCTGAGTATGTGGATGCACTCTACCGTCTGTGGTAGATATGCATATTTTTGTTTGATTCGGGGTAGCAAGCAGTCTGGCGCCTGGTTCCGCACACGGCTATTACGCGCCACGCTCGCACCACTGCTGCGTCCGTGTTTGGGGAGCATGCCTCGGCTGGCCCGCTCGAGTTCCTCTTTTTTTTTTTCTGCCTCGCGTATATAGGTTGTCTCTCAAGGTAACCACTAGAACTTGCTTCTCTCGTTTCCGCACATATATCTCCCAACGTATCCTTCCATTTTGCTTCCCATTCTTTCGGCTGAAGCGTATGCAACGCTGTGCACACCCACAAACACATACCCCGTATTTTTTGTGTCCATCCAAAGGCGTTTCCGCTGCAGCACGTTGGCGAGATCGTCCTCCGCTCCGCGCTCCCTCGGATCCGGCGATTGCTCCATCGCCAGTCGCGGATGGTGGTGGACGGGGAGCCTCAAACGGCGGCCCCGGCCATGAGAGCGTGCGCCTCTGTCATGGTCGCAGCTCTTCGTCTCTCCACGAGCCCTTCGGGGAAGCCGATCGAAAACCCCCTGCTGCAAAACCCTACCTCGGTGGACTTCCTCGGCGTCAAGAAGAGTGCTCTCGGTAGCGGTCCCAGCGGCAACGACGCTGGCGCCGAAGGCTCGACGGGGAAGGAAGAGGAGAAGGACCTGGACGCCACCTTGCCGCCCAAGGATCTTGCAGAGGAGTGGCTTCGCGCACGTCTGGGGGGCATCCTGGAGGGGGGGAGGGGCGGAGACGCGCTGCTGGTGGAGACAGCGGCATGGGCGACGCTGAGGGTGCTGCATACGGTGGCGATGGGGCCGCTGAGGGTGTCGTTCGCGCCGAGGGTCGCGGAGGCGTTTCTCAGGGTCCTCGTGGCCGGGAAGGTGTGTGTTCCGGTCATATGGTGATGTGGACGCAAGAGAGTGGCGGTATGGCTTCGGAAGAACGTACCCTTGACGGAAGACAGTAGTGGCCTTGCGTGAGATTGGTGGTGGTGTGTTTTGTGTACCCCGCCCTGTTTTCGGTTTGCCCAGAATTTTCTTGTTGTTTGCATACACGATCAGAGATTTTTGGCAGAAAGCACCGGAAACAATGTCGTGGAAGCTAGGCGTGTCAAAGGGCAGCAGTAGATGCCTGTCCTGCTTTGACTGATTGATTGAGAGTAATGGCTCCAGTGTCTCACGATAAGGGTCACGCACGTGCGCAGGTATATATGATGCTACAAGTACGAACGCTGCGGTGAACAAACACCGGCTTGTTCCCTAAGTTTGAGGGTGAGGAACCACCAAATTTTGCAGCAAGCACTGCACTCGCGCGAAGGCTCTTCTTAGCGTGTTCTGCTTTCCCCCCGTGATTTCGAATGACAGGCCGCCACACCGAAACACTTGTGGCCATCGCTACACGCCGGGCACCAGGAGGTGGCCGCGGGCGCGGCGCTTGCCCTCCGACTGGCGTCCCCCTCCGCGACGGCGGCGCTCGCGCCGCACGTGCTAGCGGCCGCGGAGCGAGTGCCTCAGCCCAGGCAACGACTAGCCCTGCTGGCCGACGTGTTCTTCCTCCTGCTGGTTCGCCCGGGTAGGAACGGACGCGCCCCTTGCGTCGGTGGTGGTAGCGGTAGCGGCGGCGGCGAGAGGAATGATGACCGGCAAGGAGGGGAAGGGGGCACCGGGAGCAGCCGGACAGGCGCACCGAGAGAGGGGCCGAAAATGCTGGCTTCGGTGCTTGATGAAGAGTGGTTTGAGCAGCTGGTGTCGGATTCACCCGGCAGGAGTGCGAGACGGCTGCTGTTCAGGGAGGAGGCTGTCGCGGTCCTTGTGACGACTTGCGCACAGGTGAGAGGAGACCTCGACGAGTCTTAACTGCATGACTCTCAAGTCGATTACTCTCAAGTCTCGCTTGGAGAGGTATGGGTGAATCGAACTGATGGGGGGCTGGGGCGAAGTGGGATAGCTTTGGAGGGACATGGGGGAACGGGCTAGTCAATGCAGTAGGCCGTCACGCGCTGGGCAACCAGCCGCTTATCAGACCGGACTGGACATGACATAATGCTGATGAAATTCCCACGGCATGTGTGTCCTTTCGTGGCGGGTGTTGCCTATCTTACATGCCGCATTTTCCTTGTATCCATTGCACCTGTCGTCTCCACGAAACGCTGGTATGAAAACAAGACTTCCGTGAGTGGTCGTTGACCGCTGTCCTCCGCATTCACTCATATGTCCACGTGTCCCAATCAAATTGACTTGTTTCACCAGGTTCTTGCAGCTGGAGTCGTCGCAGCTCTGTCTCCCGCCGCCGAGAAGGCTGCCGCCGTGGGCATTGGCAACCTCGCACGATCTTGCGACAGCAGATGCCGGGCAACCGCAGCACGGTCGGATACAAGCGAAGGACACAAGAACGGCTCCTCCGTTGGAAACGGGAACGCTAATTTCGCTGCAAGTGTGTCGGCGGCGGCGGCAGCGAGGGCAGCGGCGGCGGCCAAGAAAGGGCGCTGGTCCGACCTGGAGACGTGGCTGGACTGCTCCCTAACGGCGCTCGAGGCTTTCACGCGGTGCGTCAACTGGAACTCGAAGACGGGGTACGTCGGCGGCCTCGCTTACGTGCGGCTCTTGTCTCTCGTCCTTCGGTTGCTGTGCCCGTTGACGGCCGCGCCGGCAGACAGCGGGGACGACAGGGATTCCGCCAGCACCGCCGATAGAGTTTTGTTGGGGGGTCGATCCTACGGTGGCGACGGCAAAGGGGGGGTTGACGTAGGCGTAGCGCTTGACGACGACAGCACGGCCGGGGGGGGGCGGGGTAGGTTGGCGTGGGCCCGACAGAGGCTCGCTCACGTGGTGGACGACTTGATGTGGAGGCTGCGGGAAGGGCTCCCAGGCAGGGACATACGCCTACGTCTGCTGCAGGTACTTGAAAGGATACGATAGATGACCGTCGACTATCGGTGTGCGGGACGGGTGGACTGGGGCGTGGGCGATGTTATTTTCTGAAGCGTGTTCGATTCGTTTTTGTTGCCTTACCCGTTCTCTTTGTGTCCATAGTCTTCATTGTTGCAGCCATGTGACCCTATTTTCCACCATGTGTTTTCGAGTTGAGACATGCCGGTCTAGGTTTATTTGTTGTGAAACTGGAACGTTGCACGCGTGTTCCAAGTACCGCATTAGCCAATGCTCTGTATATCCATGTGGGCCTGACGCGAAATTTGTTTCCTTCCGAGCACCTCACATCTAGCCTGCTTGACCAACATGTAGACTCCCCGTGGGGATTAATGTGGTTTGCGTTTTGGCGGTACGGTTTCCCGTCCAGATTCTCGGCACCGCGTGTCTGAAACAGATTGACCGTGCGCACTCTGGTCGGTGTACACTTTCATCGTGCTCTCGGTGAGCTGTTTTCACCCCCAATACTTTTGGCAACGCGGCAGCAGACAGGACGATTACAAAAGCGCAGTGTCGACACCACCTTCCCCGGGTTGATGTTTCTCTTTATTTCAACAACAGTCACTCCCTGCTTAGCCGCTCGACGACTCTGAATAGCACAATGTATTGCACTGCGCCTCCTTTCGCTGCTGCTTCTATTGCTCCACCACCCGTGCCAGGCAACTTGCACACATGTGGGGCTATCAGCAGTGGTCAGCGGAGATGTCGGGGTGACCGAGGATTCGGCGAACGAGCTAGTATCTGTGCTCCAGGTACAATGTTATCTGTGTGTTTCGTAGAGCATTTGCCTTACTGTACGAACACAAATAACAAGCACGAGTTCTACCTGTCTGCCGGTTGCCTGATGTACTACAGCAGTAATGTTTTGTTCGCAAGCGCAATGTTTTCGTTTGACGCGGAACCTCCTTCTTCCCCTTGCTCTTAGGTCCATGCGAAAGGGGACGCAAGCTTCTTCAGCTGTACACCCACCCCGGGCAGCTTTCACCGCCCAACACGCTGCCCGTGCACGGACCGATCGCCCACTCACCTTAGCTTATGGCCCCTCCCCGATGTTACTATAATACCCATATCCAATCTATCCCCCCGTGACTTGGTTTTTCCCGGCGGATAAGCCATCGAACACTTCTACTTTCCCGTTAGCTGGCTTACCAAGCTCCTTGCCTGGTACGATTGGTGGTACGCTACCAAGTACCACCCACCCACCCACCCCTCATCGTGAGCAGTTGAAGACCGTGCCCCAACCGCTGTTTTTGCTACATACAACTTGCGGCACGGTGGTGGCATGTCCACCGAACCCACCCCACTCCCGCATCCACACGCTCTCCTTCCGACAAAATGTCTTAAAAAACGCGCGCCGGCGCGAGAACAGGGTGAGCTGGGTGAGCTCGACGCGCAAGCCGGCTTCAGCACGCAGCCGCGTCCTGCTCGGGCGGCAACGAGTGGTGGCGATGAACCCGGCGACGGCGATGACGGTCACAGAGGAACAGACGCCCACGCGGGCCGCGGAGGAGGCTCCAGCGGCTCGCCGGCGGCGGGCGGCGGCGGCGGCGGCGGTGGCGGCGCTGCAGCCCCTCAGGGACAGGGGGGTGATGACGGAGGCGCAGGGCGAGAAGCAGGTGGCGGTGGGCAGTGGGAATCGATTTCGTCCATCTCTGGGCGGACAGGGAGCTTGACGGATGTCATGGCGCACGAGCTCGTGATCGGCTGCCTCGTGAGGCTGGCGCTGGTGACGGAGGGAGAGACCGCCCACGAGGTCATGTCTGTGTTGGAACACGAGCGGGGCAGGGCGCGCGCGAGGGAGAGGCTGGGTCGCGGGGCCGTCGGGCCCATGGAGGAGATTGTCGCGAAGGTGGGCACGGTGTGGTATGCCCAGGTGGTGTACAGTGTAGAGGAAGGCCAATGGCGTGTCCCTGCACTTGCGTCTGCAGCACGAGGTGTTGCACAGATGGAAATAATGCACGGGAGTGGTTTGTGCTGCACTTGGAGCGAAGAGACTGTGGAAGTACAAATCACGGTGAATCAACACTAATTCCTTCCTGCTCGTTGCGCAACTTGTGTCTTGTGTCTTTTTTTTTCTTTTTTTTTCTTCTTCCATGATCGTGCTTTCTTTCGCGACCTCCGCTCTACATCTTGAGCCCCAAGGCTTTTTCCCGACGAATGGCATGTTCTTAAGAGCAGACGCACGTATCGAAACAAGCTTATCCACGGCGGACCCATTTTCCTTTCACTGATGACAGGGTATTCGAGCTCTCCAGTTGCTCGTCTTCCCATCTACAAGCCCCAAGGTCGCAGATGGTAGCCCGGAAGCGGTGCTGCTCAAGAGACTTGTGAGGACGATGGACCTTGGATGGCATGCAGTCGTGCAACCCGACGGTGAGAGATGTACGTCTCTCGTCTTTTCGCTTTGGTGGTTGACATGTATCTTGTGGCCGTGGGTGCTTTGCACCCATCCGAGCCTAGTTTTCTCGTTGAACGACCTGGATAAAGACCATGTACACTAGGGGCAAGACAACCCGTGTGTAAATGAACTATACGTGAAAATCAGAAGGTTTCGACGAAAGCTTTTGGCCCTGCCGTAATACAAACAGAATTCCCGTTGACACCACATGCGGCAACGTGCTGCGAAAAAAACTGAAAACCGTCGCGTGCTGTTGGTACCTTTGCCCTTGTTCCCCTTCTCTTGCAACGACCGCGGTGTTCTCTCATATAACAGAACGCGCTCTCACTGGCAGCAGCGCGGAGTTGTTCGACCACGAGGTGCATGCCTTCCCCAACCTTCACCGCCGTCTTCGGAGGCTCCTTTGCGGAGGGATCGGTGTCGATACCGCGAGTACCGATGAAAGACCTAGCACTGGCAGTGGCGATTTTCCTGGAGACCTGGAGGCGGGAGCAGCGGCGGTGATCACGCCGTTCGAAGCTCACGCCTGGGAGGAAGAAGCACCGCAAGCTCAGCTGAACGGCGGAAGCGACCCCGTCGTCGTGACCGCCTCTCACATCGTCTATCACGGTGACAGCGGTACCGGCGGCGGCGCTTGTGGCGCGACGGGGGGAGGGGGAAGGGCCCTCGGTCCCACGACACTGGCGGCGCTCGCGTTCGCTGGTGTAGATGGGGATGCCGCTTCGCCTGGGACCATTCCTGGGCTTGTCGGAAAGGTTGCGAGCCGTGCCGTGACGCTTCGGATTAGGGTCTTCAACGCGACGAACACCAGGCTACACGGGTTTTCCATTCGGCTTAGCTTTGGGCAGGGCGGGGAGGCGGTGGGGATGGGAGGGGGTGGGCGGGTGGAAAGCGCCGTCCAGGAGGTGCGTAAGGCGTTCCTGTGGGTCGGGGTGTAGTTGTGCCTTGCCTGCCGTAATTTGCTCGTGCTCGCTTCGGGGGGGGTGGGGGTTGTACTGCCACCCTTAATCTGCTGTGTTCTGCAACGGGCCACGGTTGCTGTCGTCTTTGTATATTGGATGAAGGTGTGTCGGAAACAATGCAAGGTCTCTGTGTAGGGTGGTCCGACTATCCCTGTGGGCAAGGTTGGACGTGCCCGCCTCGTATGAAAGAGCTCTGGTTTGCGTTTGTATGACGAACGCACACGCGTGCTCTCAACAAATTTAAGACCCACCTCATTCTTACTCTGAATCATATTTAAGACACACGCTCGCGACGATGCTGCACACCTTTCACGAACGACATCAAAACATACACGGTTGCCAAATTTCGCGAGTGAGTGAAAGACTACCCCTTGGGCCCTTGTTTTTGCCGTCCGCTTCTGACGTGTTGAAGGTACTGATGCCGTCTGCAGCTCATACGCTAGAAGTACCGGTAACGCCACTGGACGTCCTGACAGACGTGATCGTTCACGTCAGTGTTGTCTTCCCAGATACGGAGGTGGGTGTCCAAGTGGCAAGCTAGCTGTTTCCCGAATTTTTCGTTTGTCTTGTCAAAATAGTCATGTCCATTTTTTTTTTGTTGAGGTGGCCGTTCACATGACCTGTGCGGTTGTCCGGGGGGAAACACGAATGACGAGGCTTGTTTCAACCCCTGTGTGCCTACCATGGCCGCCTAGAATTTTGACATATGGATGGATGCGTATGCATGCCCACGAGCAGCTACAGTACCACGCCCATACAACAACACACCTGCTTTCCCGTTGTGTTGCGGGGAGAGGAGAGGCCCACCATTTTCTGCCGCTGCTGTACCACTGTGTTTGTGGCTTCGTGAATGCACGCATATGTCTGCCTCGATCACATCTTGTCTCGTTGGCAGATATTGTATTGCGCATTCGAATTTCCCGACGTCTGCGCCGCTCTGCATCCAACCCCTCGCATTCAAGCATCTCTAACTGACCTTCTCCGCCTCGCCACCGGTACGACGTTTTTCATCGCCCCGTACCTATCACCTCCCTGGCCTGGTCACTCTCGAACAGCCTGAATCGGAGTTTGAGTCAGAGGGAACCGCCGAGCTCCTCGGAGTTGAAAGTACGGAAAAGGGTAGAGGGGGCGATAGCGGTGGTGGCGGCAGCAACGCGCTATCGGGCTTTGGGCAAAACCAACCAAGCTTCGATGGCGGTGCCGGTGACACAGGAGTGGACGGCGGCGGCAGCGGCTCGGTAACCGTGATCCTGCAAGCCGGGAGTTATCGCGTACCCGCGGAGGCATTCTTGGGTCCTCCGGAGCGAGCCGCTGCCACTTGGGTTGGGTTTCAGAACGTTTGGTGCGGGTTGGCGTACGTCACGGCGATTCCTGTGGAATCTGCACGTCATCTGCCGCGTGCGATAACGGCGGCGGCAGGCCACGAACACGCGGCAATGTCTTTGCGGACGGCGAGCGGGGTACGGCTCGCAATGATGCCGGTATCAAGTAGAGGAGGAGGCGGTAGAGGCTGTGATGATGCGCGGTCGGCGGCGGCTGTGGAGTGCCCCGTCGGAAACACGGACTACGCGGTGTCGAGCGCGTGGGTGTTCCAGGCCTGGGACGGCACGCCAGTTCTCTGCGCCCTCACCGTGATGAAGGCGCCCTTCTCCTTGCTCCAAGCAAGCGGCGGTGGGGGCAAGGGTAGAGGTGGGGGCGGGGAACAACCCTCCTGGTACGGCCGTCTTGAGGTGCGTTGCGGCTCTCGCGCTTGCTTGGAATTCGCCCAATGCAGCCCTAAAAGACTGTCGACCTTCGTCACGAACGGAGTGTTTGCGCCCCCCGCCTCTGGCGACCAGCAGCAGCCAGGTCCGTTCGGTGGGGCTTTTTTGCCGACAGCGCCCGCGGTAACGGCGGTGCCCGGTGGCGGTGAGTTGAACGGGCCACACCCTGATTGGTTCTCCCGAACGGACACGGTGGGGGTGCCGCCGCCACCCTGTCCCCCGGAGCAGAGGGCGGGAGTCTTCGCAACTGATGCGGCTAACTTTAAGCCGCTAGCGCGAGTGCTGCGGGACCAGCAACGCGTGGATACCACGCAGCCGGCGACCGCGCAGCCAGAAAGGGCCTAGTCGCACGCCGGAGGCGCCGGAGTTTTTTCCGGTTGGGTCACCCTGGAGGCGGGGCATTCTCTTCTCCAATGGCTGTTCGCTTTGCCGTTTCGATAGCAACTTGTCAGGGGTTCCCGCCGCACTTGTTATTGTTGATAGAAAGGAGCAAGAATTGTAAAAGGTATCTGCTATTAGAATGGTTGGAGCCCGAAATTTCAGGGAGGGCATGCATGGTGGTCGCGTCTGAGGGTGTTGGGAGGCGGGTGCAATGCGCTCAGTGGTAGATGCGCCTTGACGGCCAGTATCATCGGGTGTCTTCGCTGAAACTTGATCGTGGCACTTATCCTTCCTGGAAAACCTTCAGTTCGCAGATGATCGGGCCATTAGTCTTGTTATTTTACGCAATAGTCTAGTTGTGTCTTGGTCCCGACATGTTGTACTTTACTTCTCCGCTTCCGTTTTAGAAATTTGTAGCACTGCTGTCCATGGCGAAAGGCCATCAGTAGCTCGTCATTTCGAGATCACTCGTTTTTCATAGATATGAATCACTATTTTGGTCGAGTTTTTTGTTCGTATGATTGTCCGGCAAATCCTCTTGAGGGTGAATGAAACTTTGCGGAATCCAACTTTGTTTTTGTATCGGTCCATGTTGTCCATCCAGTTGTAGCACCGAGCGTAGCACCAACCAGCCTCAAAGTGCTTGGTAATGGTGCTCGGGAATGGGGTAAATTAAAGAATCCGAATGGGTTAAAAGACTGCCCGCGGCCTTCGCAGTCAAAAGTATGTTTTACGTGTCTCTCGCGCACAGCTCTGTAGTATTGTGCAGCAAGTCAGCTTCCCAAGAGCAAGTGTATTTTGAGTCAAAATCAAGTTGCTACGCACAGCGTCCAGCTTTTCGTTCCAGGAGGTTGGACATTGACCTCAATCATATTTTTTATGAATATCGCGGAGCGTGATGGCTGTAGTTTGGGTTCAAAGTGAAAATTTTGTAAAAGAACAGACCCCGCCATCAGCAGGTTGTTGCAACTACTATCAGCGGCGGCTAGTAGTAAGTAGAGGTCCCGTAAGTGCCGGTTGAATAGTGCCGGTTGCCGTCGGTGTAGTGCCGGTGTTGCGGCGGCACATACTGAATTTACCAAGTATTTCTGTACTTTAATTCTTAGTGCCGGTGATTTTTCTGGGCACATACCGGCACGAAACAGAAAACTCCACGGCGGTATCACGCTGTGTAGAACTACTGTAGTACGTACATGTGCATCGGATGCAATGCAGGCACTGCTGCGCTTATTTGTGTATACTCGTATGCATACAGACAGCAGTGTATAGTGTCCATCTCCTTGAATAATGTTTTTTGGTGCAGCGGAAAAGACAAAGCCACAAGGCCACCCCCCGTCCACGCCGGGTGCTTCATTACGCACAGCAAGAAGAAATTGTGCGCTACCGCCACGCCGTAAGTACTGCAACTTCACTATAGAGGGTACTTCGTACTTCACCAACCAGCAAGCAGCTGTAGTTCCGCCGCACGCCGTGTTATTTAGTTTTGTGTGATCCGTGAACAGCACCAAATCGAGGTTCGCGCTTATTTTTTAGCCTGCGGGCAACCGGATCGGCCCGTAAGCATATCAACAGCAGTCCCTACCCTTGCTCTCTGTCTTCATCTCCCTTCCTTGATCCCAAGAAAGAAACATGTTCACCTACACTGGACTCTGGTGACTCCACCAATGAGATTGCCGCAACCAGGCCACCTCGGGTGACGTGTACCTTGTACCCCGTTGTCCCAGTAAATTCCTAATGACGGGGCCCCCTTGACGGCGCGTCTTGTAGAAGCAGGAAGTGTAGAGCGTGTGCCACATCGTAAGCAGGCACGTGCCTTCCCGCCAAGAAACCGCGACCTCATCTCCGTCTCCCTCCCCCTCCCTCACTCGCTCTCTATCTGGCACAGTTCATCCTCCTCTTCGGTAGTTTTGCGCTACTCTGCTGTGTGGCCGGGGGGGGCAAAACCTAGCAAGAAAAAATGAGAACGTGCTTGCTGTCGGCGGCGCTGCTGTTCCTTGGAGGAGCACAAGGATTCATCACCAGCCTGCCGAGATTACCCACTCGTGACATCACTCCCACGCCCGGACGATGTAGAGTACCACGACTGGCCTTGACACCACCCCGAAAGCCCAATACTGGGGCGGGTGCCGGGTCTGCTGCTGCCGGGGGCGATGACAATGGCGGGGCGAACGATGTGTTGAAATCGACCAGCGGGATCACCAGAGCGCCTCTCCGGATAACTCCGAACTTTCAGCCCCAGGAGAAGCGGAGGCCGAAATTCAATGTAGATAAGGACGTCACCTATGGGGCGTTCTTGACGGAAGAGAGCTTTGATATCGCCGGTGAGTCGACAAAGTTTCCTCGATTTGAAAACCAGGTGTTGACGTGTTGACGCAAATTCTGTGTCAACCGCACTGACTGCAACTTGGTCGTTCCTGACGTGACGCCTCTGCTGTGTTCCTGTAGAAGTACGTACGCGAATGCAACCGTCAACCCCGAGCATGGGGAAAGGGGGCGAATTGTTGCAAACACATCGCCGAGGCTGGGCTTACACTAGGTAGTCTACTACCAATGCGCGCAAGAGCAAGGGCTCCAGGAGCTTGTACTTGAACCGTTGGATGTACCCTTGGCTGGAAGACGTAATGATGTATGTATCTCTCTTGCGCCCACAAAAAAAAACTCTTGCTCGGTGTATACGCTATTTTTTATTTTATCCCATGTATGTACAAGTATGCATACTGCCATGGACTATCGCATGCACACATGCCCCCCCTTTTGCTGGCAAACGCCCAGAGCGTCGGTCGCTCCTGAGCCCCAACGCGCGTCAAACCTCTCAAAATATGAGGATAACCTTTGGAATACACAGGGCAAGAGCAACAGAGTTGGTGGGAACTATAATATAATAGCGAAAGAAAAACTCACCAACTCACTGGTCGTAATTGTGGCAAGCAGATACCGCACACCCAAGAGGAAGGGATGTACCTACAACAACAGTACAAGTGTTCCCGCACACATAACGGTCGCCTTAACAAACCACAGCCACGTACTTTATGAGAAATCCCCCCCCCTACCGCAACCACGGCTATCCTTGGCAAAAAAAAATTGTTGGCAGCGTTTGCCGCGGTAACCGGCCACCACGAATTGCACGGCAATTCTTGGATGGCGACTGCGCACCAGATGTGCATGTGTTGGATGCTCTTTGCTCCCTATGCGTATGACCACCTCTCCAGAACGCTCTGATGAAGTGTTTTGTACAAACGCGTAACATTTGCCCTTTGTGGCATCTTGTGGTATCCCTTGTAGTTGGTTTGGTGGGGGTTGGCGTCCGTCCATCCTCCGGTTTTCACCATGAGTGTTGCAAGTCAACCTACCATTTTTAAGGGGCCGATCATGTGCCCGTGTGTTATTACCCTCTGTCTCGTCACTTCCCTTTTATGGCCACCCTCCCTGCAGTGCGGCAACAACACGGGCTTTATCGCCTGCGCAACACACCACAGAATATCTATCACACGCGGTGATGGTTTGTAAGCCCCAACATGGTATGATCACCGGGGTGTCGTTTCTCATGTCGTTTGCGGGTATGCATACGCGCAAGTATCCTCAACAGTTTCATATTGCACGCTGCAAGAACTGGGTCTTGCCTTTTCTCCTTCATTCTGAGTTTGTTTAGTTTTCACTGTGCACCCTCCTCGTAATCGTTAAGCACTATATTTTTATTATTAACATGAAGATGCCTACCTTTGGGTGAAGCTTTCGTAGGATCACTCGATCGCTCAATTATTTCACTATTTTCGACTACCGACTGGGAATGTCGGCAGCAGAGAAACATGCCTCCAACATGTCAGCTCCATGTTCCGGTCTCCTACCTATCTTGCGGGTTTCCCTTGGTCGCCATGTGGTATATTCCATGGGGCGTGCAATTCATGCACCGTCGCCTTATCGCTCCCTTCTCCTATGTTTTGTCTCTTGTTTCTTTCTCTCGTTCAGCAATGGCTTGGGAAGAATTCTCCGACTTTCTTCGGCGCACGGTCGAGCGGAACTTGAACGGAGCGCAGTTCGACTTCGACACTCGGCAGTGGTCGAGCAGCATTCGCAAGTGGTGGAGCAGGGCCGTGGAGATGGACGTGCAAGCCAAAGCCGTAAGTCTGTAGTAGCGTTAGCGTGCTGTTGTGTTCTCTTTGCTAAAGCGGGCGCGCAACATCGTAGTCTTGTGGGTATTAAGACCGTCTGCCATTGACTTCATTGGCCTGCGATAGTCTACCGGAGGTGCCTGGCAAACGCTTAGTGCAAGCGCGCATGCCTCGTACGAAGGATGTACGTGAAGTATTCACGAAGAGGGCGCGCACCACATTTTTCATGAATCCGTGGTATCGATGTTTGAGGGAACGGGAGACGAATTTGTTCCGCCCAATCGCGTCGAATAAACTGACCCTACGTTCCGCTCTCACCAATCACCCGCTGTTCTCTAAATGCGTATGGTACACACACGGACAGGACCTTTTCCGGCTTTATGATAGCAGCGTAGGGCAGAGGGATGCCAGGGGGAACCAGGCCTTGAAAGTGGACGCAAGGGTCGAGGACGAATGGGATAGCATCTACGTAGATTGCCAAGATGTCGCCGACGTAGACTTTCAGGACTGGTCATTCGACAGCAGTATCAGCGGTGGGGTCGAGGGGGCGGCGACAGGGAGCGACGTCACGGGTTGGAGATCATCAGAATCATCATCAGAAGCCTTGCCGTCATCGTTGCGGAAGGAGGGGGGTGGATGGGGCGCGAGTCCCGGTAGTGCAAGCACTGGTGGCTCTCGCTCGGCGCTCATGGCTGCCATGGACGCGTTCCAAGAGGAGGAGGAAGCGGAGGAGGGGGAAGAAGAAGGGACGGGCAGCGAGGGCTTCGATGATGAGGAGATTATCGACTGTGCGATCAGGGGTCGGTGGACTTTCACAAACAACGATGACCCGGTGAGAGGGCGTTGATCACCCTTCTCATTGCGGCGCGGAGTGAACGAACGGTCTTGCGGTTGGTACGGTCGAGTGTCTTCGTCCGGCCACTTGCAGGAGATTGTCCGAAAGTGCTCGGGGAAGGCGTATATTTTTGCATTGGTAGACACAAACACCGTAGCATTTTTGCCTGGAATGTGACCAGTTGTCAGCTGCTGTCAACTGCTCTGGTGGACATGGATGACCCAAAACTGTACAACGATTTACATCCAGCACAACACAATTAAAAAAGTACCTTTTATAAGTCGAAGCTCAAGTCAAGTTGGGCATACAGTACCTCTGCTTCAATCCCGCCGGGTACGCTTTTTCACCCCATGAAGACTAAAGAGCAGAGCTATTTAGATAATTCCTCTTTCTCGCTCGAAGGAAGGCCGCCGTGTACTGCGCGATTGTAGGGCTCCAGACCCCCACTTGGAGAATACCCCCACTGATTCTCCCCCTCTCGTCCCCGTCCCCTTCCCGCCACGGCGCTTGTTGTCGACACGCTCCCCGTCTTATGCAGCCCCACTTTTCTCCACAATAGTGTCGGTGGCACCGAAGAGAATCTCTTCATCTCTTCGAAGTGCGTGGCGGCCCGCGTAGACGTAGGGGCTCAACGCGGCGTGTACATAAAAACATCGGGAAGGGGGGAGGGTACCATTAAATGTAGCGACATGTGAAAATATGTGGAAAATGTTTCGTGCTTTGAGTACCCCGTGGGAGGTAGACGACGGCTTTGCGTGGATGCCACATTTGTCTGTTCGCGCATGTTTATTCCAGGGGTGTTTCGAAGCAGACGGAAGTGACGCACCGTGAACAGGGGAAGTGCGTGTCTGTGCATGCGATGCCGTCCTTCTGGCTTGCCCGAGTAGTGTGGGGGTGATTCTGAAAGTGTATTCTGGTCCCCATGTATATGTATGATACATACGGTGAGCACTAGGAATAGTAAGGTTGCGAGCGTGGGTTGGGGTGGTCAGGAGATGTCAAACGATCCTTTGGTGTATTTGTTTTTCCTTACTCTCCTTGATGTTGGCGGTTTGGTCCAAACCAAACCAGTTGTGTTTTCAGTCCCTCAACGTTTTGTCCTTGAGCGCTGCCACTCGCTTGGAAGGCTATTTCTTGAGGATGTGGGTTGTTTCTCCGTGTGCAGCATGCGGGCAATCCTGTGTTGTGTGTGTACCTCACCCTGAGGCATCATGTTGGTATTCGAGCGGTGTGTAATTTTGAGGAACGTTTGATAGAGAAATATTTTCCGGAGGGACGGACAAACAGCTACGACAGAGGCTTCCCAACTTTGTTCACAGTCGACAGGCATCAAGAGAGAGAGTGGTTGCATCGTTAATAGGACACGATAGCTCTTTCTGCGTTGCCGTCGGAGAGAAGGCGGAGGTCACGTGGATAGAATGTGTCAACCATCCGTCCCTGTTACAGGCTACTGAAGGAAATGCCTCGCCCTAGAGCGAAAATCTTCGTGTAGGTAACACCGCAGCAACCGCCGCCGTTGTTTGTCTTTCTCGCCAGATTATGGCAAATCGGCGGATGCTTGATGACTTCAGACACGTATTCAGCAGATGCGGCACAATACACGCAGACCTTCGGGAAGAAACATGCGGACCAATTGAAGTCTTGCGCACAAGCAAAGGTTGCACTGGCACTGTAAGGGAAACAAGACATGGCGTTCACATGTTTCCTGCCCCCGTACCGAGCAACCACTGGCATACAACACGATACGAAAAGGACGACAGCGCACACACGTCGATTGATTATTTAGCACCGTTATGCGGCTCCTAGTACATGCATACATCACGACCACGTCGTTGCTCAAGTCAACCGGCAAATAAAATTCAACAGACGTGCATGTACAACACCGCATCGAACGGCCGTGACTCCGAACAAGTCGCATTCCGGGCAGTCTGACTGTCGCGGCGCATTTCTGGAGTTTACACGCAACAGAGGGAGCGACGAACACCGGGAACATTTGCAGTAGCAGCGACAGCAAATACAGTACACTACCATGCGCTTCTCTTTTTTCTTTCGTAGCCGCAGATCACGCCCACTTTCATTCCGGTCTCACTCCAGGCGGAGGAAGACTTTCACGAAACAGGCGTTGTCGTTACCATCGAGTCATAGAGTTCTTTCGCAATTTGACAGCAGTTCAGGACAAGAAAAACTTGGTTGGGAATAGCTACCGAAACCTCCACACAAAGGAACAAGGCCCGTCCTCTTCCTACACTATCCATTGGGTCATGTAACGTTTCCGGCAATATCCCCTGAGCCAGTCTCACCAATATGCACCTGGCGGCATTCGCCCAGCATCAAACATGATAAATACACGCTGGATCCTTGCCTGAGGAAAAAACAACGGGGTGCGCTATGCAACGTGTCCACGTAATAGTGTGGCGCACAAACACTATTACACATCAAGGTACGCCAACCACCTCAAGCCTACACGAGAAGACAATTACAAGCTTCTTGCGCATCGCACAACAAGAAAGCAACACACAACACTGCTCACGACCAAAAAACACGATGGACGCGATGCGCACATACGGGTGTGACGCATCTAAACACTGATAGTTTGCATTTTCGCATGCCCCCCCCCCCCCCCCCCCCCCAACAAACCCCCCACCCAAAAAAAAACCACAAAAAAA